AACGTTTTATGCATCGTCGGCATGGATGGATTACACACAGTCTGCTTGCTTCGCGACACGATTGTGAGAAGATTTTGGCCTTTTGTGAATTTAAAAAATAAATTTTAATTTCTTAGAACCAACCTCAAAACATAGGCAACCAGATATACATCTTTGTATATTTACTGCAATATTTATTTGTAATCTAATTTGAAATTGTCAAGAACTGTTGATGCCAAAAAAATGATTAATGATCGCTGCACTCTTTTTCCGTGCTTCCTCTGGGACTTTTTGCGCTTTCACGGCTTACGCTTTCGAGGAACTTGTCGATAGAACGGCGCCGCGTTTGTTAAATTGACTGATGAAGATGTCTGTAAAGTTTTTAATTGTCACGACGCGGGCAAGACGCTGTGCGTTCAGTGTATCGCGTAGATAATGGGTTTATTCTTTGCTGTGCACTTGTCGTGGCTTAGTTTCCGGGAAAAGATTAAACGCGCAAGTATAAAAAAATAAACTCTCAGGAAGTCACTAAGTAAACAATTTATCCAAGTTTTTTTTATAGGTTACAAAACGACTTGGTTATTTTTCAATACTGTTATTTGTGTATTTATGCCATTTTATTGATCATGGTTTGCTAATTATTTCTCAACTCGTAATGAGTTTGAGTAATAATCAAATTAATCGTCAGTGCAGGCATGCGTGCGTGGCGGCATCGCATGGCGACGCCCAATATTGCACTAATCAGCAATAATTAAACGAACGCTAAGTTATGACTTCCTTTGTAGGCAAATATCTGCAGTGCATTAGACCGTGACGACATAAACAAAAGTATTCATCAATATTTTATTCAAGTTCGCCAGAATTCTGCTTTTAATTGTAACTTAACCTTAAAGGATTAAAAAATGATTCGTTACTTTTATCCGAGTGTAATGCGTGTCGAGTGGTTGAGAGCTTAATTCGAAGTTCTTGTACTTGCGCTTGAACGAGCGGAAATTGAGGTTTCTCGATGGAATGCGAGACGCGAAACGCTCCTAATGCCTCAAACGACGCACGCACACGAATCGCACGATAAGAGAGCCGTTCATGACCGAACGTCTGCGATTCTCTTATATTCGTGTACTCCAGATAACACTAATGTATTCACAACGCTGAACTTCTTAAAAACACTACAAAGCAAAATCATTTTTAAGCGTATAATTATTTACTACGAAAATATAACATTTATGTAATAATTAGTCTTTATTTGCTTTTGTTTTAAACTTGACCTTAATTGTTAATTTTCTCCGCTTCTTTTGCGCATTCTCGTGTGTAGAGTAAAGCTGTGCGGTAATAGTAATCAACGCAAACGAATTAACGCGCATTAATTATGCAAATATGCGCGAGCATTAACACAATACCGTCTTAATGCGATTAGGACTTTCAAATTTGGCCGGCAGCGAACGCTAGTTTCCGTGAAACAAACTTACTTGAGTCAATTCCACTTGATTACAACGACTTCAAGTTATACCGAGTTAATGAACAGCGCTGGCACTAAACCGAAATTAATTTTAAGAAGACTACTTTTCACTACTACCACCTGTGATAAGGGTAGTCTACATAATCAAGTATATAACCAAGAAAACTTAATTTTGCATTATTCATGCGATAATGTGATTTGTATGGAAGTGTTTGTGTAGTTGGCAGTTGGCAGGTTACTCAAGTGTGATTCTTGTGTGTTTGCAGGCAAATTGAATAATATATTGGAGCAGAATCCACGCTACACGCCCGATCCGCAGCGCAGTCATGCAGACATCATTCGGACGAAGCACACGCCGACGCGCAACAATCAAATCTCCAAGACGCGCATCGTCGTCGCCGTCTACGACTACAAGGAGCGCGATGTGAGCGACGTCTCCTTCAAGAAAGGCGACCGCATGGAAGTGATCGACGACTCTGACGGCGACTGGCTGAACGTCATTCACTTAACCACTGGCGAGCAAGGATTTATTCCTGGTAATTTTGTTGCTCCTGAATTGAGCGTCGAGAGCGAAGAGTAAGTGAATGCATTTCGATTGCGTTTATTTGTGTATTAAATGTTGATTTATTGTTTTAGTTGGTTCTTTGAGAATGTATCGCGTAAAGAAGCAGATAAGCTGCTGTTGGCCGAGGAAAACGCAAGGGGAACCTTCCTCGTACGTCCATCCGAGCATAATCCACACGGTTATTCACTATCCGTGAAGGACTGGGAGGAGATGCGCGGCTATCACGTCAAGCACTATAAAATCAAGCCGTTGGATAACGGCGGCTTCTACATTTCGACGAACAAGACATTCCTCACCCTCTCCGAGTTGGTGCAAGCATATTCACGTAAGTCCTCCGCCCTTTCTCTCCCTGCGATCAGATTCGCATCCACTTATCGTATACTTGCTATGCATAGCTTTGAGGCTTTTGCATTCTCACGTTCGTTCGTATTTTTGCAGGCAATGCATTCGGATTGTGTCACGTTCTCTCGAAGCCGTGCCCCAAACCACAGCCGCAGATGTGGGACCTTGGCCCGGCGTTCCGCGACGACTGGGAGATTCCTCGCGATGAGATCAAGTTGATCAAACGTTTGGGCAGGGGCAACTTCGGTGAGGTTTACTACGGCAAGTGGCGTGACTCGATTGAAGTAGCTGTGAAGACGCTGCGGGAAGGCACCATGTCCACAGCGGCGTTCTTACAAGAAGCTGCGATTATGAAGAAGTTCCGGCATAAGCGACTAGTTGCTCTTTATGCTGTCTGCAGTAAGGAGGAGCCGATTTACATCGTGCAGGAATACATGTCGAAAGGCAGTTTGTTGGACTTTTTGCGAAAGGACGAAGGTAAAACCTTGGATTTCGAAGATTTGATTTATGTCGCCTTCCAAGTTGCCTCCGGCATGGAATACTTAGAGACGAAACAATTAATTCATCGAGATCTCGCCGCGCGTAATGTATTGATCGGTGAGAACAACATCGCGAAGATCTGCGACTTTGGACTTGCGCGCGTTATCGAAGATAATGAATACTGCCCCAAGCAAGGATCTCGCTTCCCTGTCAAGTGGACGGCGCCTGAAGCGATTGTCTACGGCCGGTTTTCGATCAAATCCGACGTCTGGTCGTACGGTATTCTACTGATGGAGTTGTTCACGTTCGGACAAGTGCCGTATCCGGGCATGCATGGACGTGAAGTCATCGAACAAGTTGAGAAGGGCTATCGCATGCCCAAACCCACCTCGCATTACCTGCCTGATGATATCTACAAGATAATGCTGAGCTGTTGGGACAACAAGCCGGAGAATCGGCCCACATTCGAATTCCTCACGCACTACTTTGAAGGATTCAACGTGACATCCGAGATTCCCTACAGGAGGTCCCTGATTAAAACCATCCCGCGTAAGCTGGGGTATGAAACGAAGACGATACAGAAACACGAAACGGAATATTTTTAACAGGGTTTTAAATGAACATGATGAACATCTTCTATCTTTTTATTATTCTTATTAGTAAACACACGATTTTAATGCCAAATGAGGAAACACGAGGCGCAAAAATAGTACAAGTCGAAGCCAGTCCTGTGTATTTGTGTTTTTTTTAGCGAATCGGTACTTAAGTGGTGCAGGGGGCGAGAGCGCGTCGCCCATGACACTAAACTCGAAACCAAAACGTACAAGTCATGTGAAAAACGTTCATTATCATTATTCATTACGTCATTTGATGGGTTTTAGAGATTTATAGATTTGCACAGCTGCTTTTCGACGTGTTTTTTTATACGATAGCTATATTATACAAACAGAAATCTTTACAACTTTTCGACGACTTTTTCTAATGGCACAACTGGAAGCAAATGAAGAACAAGCAGAGAATCGCTGAGAATTCACTTAAACCTTAATGAATATTGTGTAAAGATAGTTGGGATGCGCGAAACAGGAACTTTGTATATTGTATGTGATGTGAACTATGATTATTATAGTTTAATCTTAACACTGTATATTTAGCGATGCTTTTTGTTTTCCGAAGAGAAAACGAATATAGCATTCATGTTTACATTGCGGACGCGACACGAAATTGACTTAATCAATTAGCAACTTCGAAACGTTTATAAAGCTGTTTAGTTGATTCGGTTACTTGAATGAGTTAGCAAATGATGATGTGAATTAGCAGTGCAATAATCAAATGATTTCTTCGATTTGGAATCCGAGAATAATTCGCACATTGGTGAAATACTTTGGCATAATCTGTATTTACTGATAACGTTGTAGTCATACATTAGCATAACTTGAATCACAATCAAACTGCAAAAAGGAAACAGAAACTTTTGATTGTGTTTCAAGTTGCCTACCTTCTTATTCTATTTATTACCTATATTGTCGTGTGATGCAAAACTTATAATGTGTATTTGTGATTGTGTACAACGTTACGACTGCATTTCTTTAGCGAATTCAATGCATACTCGAAGCAACAACCTGGGCGTGCATAAACGGCACAACTTGTAGCGTCCATTTTGTCATAAATCGTGAAGCAAACCGGGTAAACTTCGTCCAGAGGCAAGAAAACACGAATATTTTCAATGATTCACGCAAACAGATAAATAATACATCAACCAAATATATGTTACAATCAATTACACACAGCCACACACCGAATCACACACACACACGCAATGAACGATATGTGACACATCTAAATAGTCCTTTTATTTTGTTGACAAAATACAGGAAATTGAAGGCGTAGGAGTACAGAGTGCAGGAAAAGAGTTGTATGTTGTTGTGTATAAGAAAATGCCATAGTTTAGGATATAATATGAAATAAAACAAACATTTTATAGAACTTTCATACCCTTCTAAGTAAGATATAAAGAGATAAATACGAAAAACTTTTGTATATATAGGAAAATTTCGAAATAAAATATTGTGCTATTCTACAAGTGTAAAAAACACTGTGGGGATGACTCCTGTAATTTATTAGTTTTTATCTTTCAGCATCATAGATAACGCAATCGCAGGTATGTCAACACACAACACGCAAATTGCAGATATTTATTTCCGATAAATATGTATAATATATTTACAATTCTGTGGTAAACCTGCTAAACTGTCGCGCGGTACGCCGTCGTCTCACCAACCTCGAAAATTCATTCAACTTGCGACAGATATCTCGCCCAGCAGTTGGATGACGTTTGCTATACATATTCAAATATATTCCGGCGACAACCAGACATCCAGACGTTACATACCTAAAAAAAATGAGACACAAGTAATTAAACAGGTAGAAGTGTTTAATTTATAAAGTTACGTACTGAAATACGAATGGTTTGCTAAAGAATAAAAATGAAAATATTATCGTGACTGCTTTGCGGCATGTTGTGACTGTAACAGCGACGAATGCACCGCAAGTTCGGACTAGAGTCAACACAATCTGGATACCCAAATATCCAGTCAAAGAGAAGACAAATGCATATCCATATTTCACTAAACTATCCTAAAATTCAGTCCACATTGATATTACAGTAAGTAAAAATAAATTAATGTGATATTAGTTTATACCTCTGAAAAGAACACATATCCTTTGAATAAATCACCACTGACAAACATAAATGCAAATAAATATGCAAGTCCAATGGAGTAAGAGTATAAAACCACTTCAACATTTGTCGCACCATGTGATTTCATGGATTTTTCTTGCACATTGCCTATAATTGCATCGCAGAGCAGTGCAATTGAAATTATAATCACACCAGTCATGTTAAAATTAGGCACAACCATTGAATCAGCTAAAATATATCAAAACACAATTATATAGATGTAACTAATGTTTCCAGAAGTGTTTTTAGTTATATTAGTACAAACCTAAAGTAAATAATATCAAGCCCACACACATTAATGAAGCAGCACAAAAATCCAACACTCCATATAATTTCTTTTGAATGATTATTCCACCAATCATAACTGGAATTAATTTGCAGCATTTAAAAATCACCTGTGTTGGATAGTTAAGATAGGCAAGAGATGAATTGGAACAGCCCATTGTACCAAGGGTAAGTAATGCTAGTAATGCATAAGTTTTGATTGGAATTCTAAAAATTAACAGGTATTAATTATTATTATTTAAAATCTATAATATGCATATAACTTACTTTCTGCTTCCAACTCCTTGCAGGTACTTCTCTGTTAGTCCAAAAAGAGTGTAAAAAAAGAATTGCACTAATGTTAAATACCATCCGAAAGGTTTGAATCCATCTATGGTAAAGATTAACTCTTGCATGTAGCCATAGAGTATGAAAAATACAAATACTGCAAATGTACATATGGAGAATTGTGCTGTTTGTGAGTAGTTTGATATATCAAAACACAATATCTTTAGTTTGACTTTTTCTGTTTTTAGTTGTTTGTGAGTTGGATCCACATTGATGATATTGATTTTAACTGTTCCATTTGATGACATTGTTGTGGATTTATTAAAATATTAATACGAATTAGTTGTAAGGCATTGCCAGCACGCCCATTAGTGATAACCTAATAGGTAGATTGAAATGTTGTAAATTTACTTAAGGATTTGCTGTTTATAAACAGCTGGAGTGATTACTTGCCATGACAGTTGCTAGCTTAGCAAAATGCCAGCTAGACAAGTGCTTTTTGAAAACTCTTTGTGCAACTGCATGTTAATATTTGTGAAAAGGCATGTTTGTTCAATTTGTAATGTTTGAATGTTTGTTTTTGTGTGTAATTCTTGTAAATTCTATGCAAATTTAAAACATCAAGGTATTGTTTTAAGGTATGGTACTAAGCATACACGTTTAACAAAAACGTATTTTTTATTAAAATACTAAAAATAATAAGAGATAGTAATTATTAAATACAATTTTTGTTGTTTCTATTTTTTATTTATCAATATTGTTACATTTTATTGAAGAGACTTTTTACTTTTAGCTATAGGCAACTTCTAACACACGTTGCTATTTTATACAATGTCACTTAACTAAAATATAAATACAAATTGTACAGATACAAAGTGGTAGTAGTTCTATTAATGAATGCTTTAGAATTAAGAAACGAGCAATAAAACTACTTATATTAATAAATCTAATAGTTTTCTTGCGTTAAAACTGAAAAAATGTTAACGAATAAATCTGTAGGATCCTGTGTACGTGGCAGCGCGCAAAACGTCGGAATCAAGGTCAACGACACGGTCGACATCTGTGCGCGATGCGGCGAGTTGCGTCGAGCGAAAATAGTAATGGCCGAGTTTCGGTGTTGTTAGTGGTGTTGTTCCGCTGAGTTCCCGTGTCGCGTCCGCGTGTGTTGTGTCCGCAGCTCGCGACCGAAAAAGCGCGTAAACGATGATCGACGCGATTCGGTGAGAGTGCCCCAAGCGATTGTGATAACTCGCGTGAGTATGTATTGTACGGTTGACAAGAGCCACAGCAGTGGGGCCCCGGCCGCGCACTCCAAGAGCCTCAAGGATGGTGAGTGCCAAACTGCGTTGCCCCTTTATTATTATTTATTCAAAAACCACTAGCAAACACCACACAGCTCAAAACTAGACCTAGCAATAACAAACCACAAAGAAAACAAACAAATCCACATGTAATCAATCAATTTGCGCCAATTTTGATGTAATTCGACATAAATCGTGTCCGATGAGCGGCCACTGGTCAAAATAACCGTCCCGCACTCCGCTATTTATAATATTTTAATTGCGGAGACACCGAGCGTGACCGCGCCGGCATTAATTAGTACATAGGCGAACGGGTTACGCGGGCACGAGCGATGCACAACCAGGTTACGCATTGTTTACAAAGCGCCCGGCGATGGACCAAGAACCAAATTGTTCGGCCACAGTTACGCACAGCTATTAAACGGCGAAACACTTCGAAGTGGGTGTTTTAACAGGCGTTTAAAACAACATTTACGGCGTGCCGAAAAGTACCATGTTAGAAAAGTGCCACTAACTGGATTAAAATTCCATGGAATCGCATGAATTTTTTAATGTGACCCCAACTCACATCTCAGGGTAGTAGTATGTATGCTCTTTCAACTCGACGACCCTGGACGCCAGTAGTACCTGATTAAGTATTTATTAAGTTGGTTTATACTAAAGTTGCTTCCATTTCATCCACCTATAATTATTGATAAGTTTTTGCTCTTTTAGGTTGTTTTTCTGTATATTTTGCTACTAAGAAACAAGCCTGGCCTTATCTACCTGATGTTTTCGGGCGGAAATTCATCTTTTCATTTTAGCACCGTAACACAGAGGCACAGGTAGTTTTAATGCCGTTTTATATGCCTATTTACTGTCTCCTCGACGAACCCCGGCGTCATACGATGGTATTTTAGGTATAATACAGTCTGCGTCTGTGTATTGAGCATTCTAAGTATAGTCAGTAAGTACGTACTTACTTACTTACTCTATTTGGAAGCCCCGGCCGACACATTACATTTACAACATGACGAGACACCTCACAATTTATCGCGAAAATTGCGTTTAGCTATACTTTACTAATTTTATTCTTCGATCAGGCGAAGAAGCGATAAATATCTAGTGGGTGAAAATTATGCGCAAGTAGTGTCATTTCTGCGAATGTGACGCACTCTCGTGTGTGCTAAAGCGACTCCCACGAGAAAACTAGAAATATGTAATTTGTGTGCTTCCAGTCTGTGCGCAATCAAAACGAGTTATTTATTAAATGACAAAATGTGATGATGACACCAGTTACGATTACCTTAATTGGCATCGAGTGGATGTGATAAATGAGGTCTACAACCTGATTATCTATGTTTTTACAATCAATTATTGATCTTGTTTAAAGTTCAAGATTACTTTCATAACTTTTGTCCTCAGATCAGATGTTTCGGGATGTGTTACAATATTGACTCGGTTTGAATGAGTTAGCTTTGTTTAAAGCTTTGCTCTTTGACTAAACTTGTATTAATTGCACGTCCACTTTTGGACATTGGGTTACAACGCGCACAGCTGTGGCCGCTGTGGGCTTAGTCATCGCATCAAATCCCACTTTGGGCCGCCGAGCGTTGTTTAGAGAGTCGTAAGTTGTTACCACCCAAACACGCGCTGAAATCCATTTCAGTTTGTTAACAAACATTACGGTCATATTGCGTTTGCGACAACTTTACACAACTTTAGTTTACTTTAGCAGCATCGTCACTTCTTGGTGTAGCCCCGACCACAATTCGCATCCTCATAGTCCACAAGTCTACATACCTATACAAGGCGGTTGGAGACTCGGACGCTTTCTTATAATTATATACTCTATCATTTAGCTTGTGGGTTTTTGGTGTGATGTTTACACCAGAGGATTCAATGAATCGCGCGCTGCAGCGTTTTGTTGTTGTTTTGTGCTGGCAGCTGTAGATTGCGTTAGTTTGTCCATTCCACCGCTTCCTAGAGCGACACGGTCAACAAACTTGTAGCAATGCACGGCTAAATGGGCGAAGCATCGGCCTTCAAACGGCCCACACGGACACTGCGTGCTCCCAGCTTTGGTATTTAACTAGTTAATTCGTAATCTTGTTTTGGTTCTCTAATTCTCTCACCCGAGCGATGATTAAATTTGATTAGTAAAAAATTAAATTAATATTGAAAATATTTAGGTTAAAGTAGTGTAATTTAGGTAATGATTTGTATCCCAATTTTCTTGCCAGGTTTTTCGTATAAGTGTTTATCCGCAATTATCTCATTTCCCCCGATTTAATTATTTATACGCCTAATTATTGGCTCGCATGCGAGCGCTGAATTTATTTCTCCAATTTCTCCCGCTCCAGATGTAAACGTCTCGTAATTTACTCTTACTGTGGGTTTTTGTGTGTGTGTGTACGTGTTTTGCAACACGCAGCAAATGCAATAAGTAATAATACCTGTTGCTGGTCATAACTTGCACGCGAATGCACGCAAAATGGTTGGAAAAATGTGCGCTGCACCAAACACCATATTACGCGCTGTTTTTTTTCTGTATTTCAATTTCAAAATCTTTATCTTTATCTCCATCTGTACACCTACACTTGAAGCGGGGTTTTTGGGATGAATATTTTTCTCCTTGTTGTTTGCAAGATCTTTATTAAAAAGAATCGTACCGTAGAGGGGTGGCCGAGTTTCCTCCGCACGGAAATTGTGTCCCCAGTTGTCTAAAACAAGCAAAAAAAACACACAAATAAAGAAGAATGAATGAAAAGTTTAATAAAATCCATTGTGCGACTTTTGCTTGCTTTCGCGTCTGTTAAGCCGCTTAACTACTATATTGTGGATATCTTGAAGGGATTTTTAAAAACTTCATGTAAAGATCTGTAATTCCTGCTTGATCTTCATGTTTACTTTGTAAAATATCTTTGAATATTGTTTATTGGAGTTTGTCTTTCAAGTTTATTTGGCTAATGGACAGTTCCACTACGAAAATTAAAAATCAATACTGGATGCATTCGCATTTACTACGGCTGGCCGAGAGTCGAATTGGTCTGCGAGAGTGAATTGTCAGTCAATTGAATTGAATTGTTCTAATGCGATCGACCCGGGATAATGCATCTCGTTAGTGATGATGATGATGTTGTTCGGGTTGACTGGAAGCAACTCGAATGCACTTGCACTTGTAAATCGCGTACAGTCGGATGCGCAAATGCCGTGTGTACAGAGAGTAAAATTGTAATTGACTCCGTTTATCCGGAGAGTTGATTGGCGGGGGCCATTAGTCTGAAAATACGCGAATTGCATAACTGTAGCACGCCGGCGATTATCTACAATTAATGTGTTTTTTGCATCATTTCCTAGCGAAAAACTAGTTACGTTTAATTTTTTTTAATGTTTGTTATTTGTGATTTTCTAAAGTTTAGTATTTTGACGATTTAATTGCATACTTTCGCTCGTAAACACAAATTGCAAACTTTTAATGTGGATTGATATTAAAACGACTTAATTGATTTTATATTGCCGAGGCAAATGTGTTTGACACCCTTTTTTTTTAACTTGCGACCGACTAAAAGCTGCGAAAATTGCGTCGGAATGGTTTTTCGTGTAGTTAATTTGTCATTTCGAGAGCGGTCATACTGGGAAAACGAAATTTTCGAAATAATTTCTTCTCGATTAACGATTTTATGCCGAGTGACGCACCATGAAAATTCGCCTTTCAGTCCACGCTGCGACGGCGACAAAAATAGCAAAGTGCCGCAAAATCCGCCAACACCAACGACGTTCATGTTTTATTTATATACAAACTGTTTTAAGTTTTTATTTTAAAAACTAATTACACTTGTATTCAATTAAATCTAAAAAAAACACCGCTGTTTTATTTTTATTTTTTTTTTTGATTTTTTTATTCAACAATTGTGAACTTATAGCACAATTTACTTTGCATGATACTTTTGTTATCATTGCGACTTCACAGAGAAGATATAACACGTATCTACATTCAAAATGCGCGACCTCGATTTAATATCCGC